AAAAAAATTGCTCAAAAAATAAATTTTAATTAAAGAAAAAAATAATGCTTTATGACAGGAAAATATTTTCCATTTCATAATTTTTCTTTTCTTATGAAAAAGAAAATATTTTTTTTTATAAAAAAACATAACATCATATATCCGAAATACAAATCCTTAACTCTCTCTCTCTCTAATCTTTTTACAAAATAATTGAAGCATCTCTATCTGTTCTTCTTTCAGGTGACTTTTTTTTTTCTTCAAATGTCCATTTATTATTTGTCTTATGTTTTCATCCTTTTGTTTTAATTTATAGTTATAATAATGACATAAATCTTGTGATATAATTTGTTGGATTTTTTTTTTTGTGGTTTATCTTGTTTAGTTTGTTGTAACCTATGTTTTATATATTTTTAAAAAACCAAATAAAACATCAAAACCATTCAAACACAGTAAACCCAAATCCATGCTCTGTATTTTTTTCCAGAAACCAAACAAAACATCAAAACCATTCAAACACAAACATAGCAAACCCACAAAACATCAAAATCATTCAAACACAAACACAACAAACCCATTTTGTCTGGTTTCTGTGAAAAAAACATAGCAAACCCAAGTTGTGTTTTTTTTCATAGAAACAGGGTTTGCTATGTTTTTTCCATAGAAACTAAACAAAACATTTTATTTGGTTTTTGTGAAAAAAACACAACAAACCCATGTTCTATTTCTCATTCTAATTGATCTCTTCATTGTTTTTGATGATTTTTTCCAAACCATTTTCAATTTCACAGTTGATCTCCTCACTCCCCTTACATGTTGTTCCGATAAACTTCCTTTCTAGTATGTCCCCAGTTGCCTTACATAAAAACAGAGCACTGCCCAAAGAAATCCCTTTCATTGAGGAGTGAACGAGTGACAACAGGAAAGGGATGGTTAGTTTAATTGGAAAAATCCGCTTTCAATTCCACTCCATCTCTTTATCTTCCTCTCCTTTTCTTCAATTGCTTCTTTTCTAGTAGAACCTGACCTACCCAATGGAAAACACCTTTATTTTCAAAAGATAATCCCAAATCTGCTACCTTTGGCTCTCCTTCTCTTTCTCTTATGCTTTCCTATAAATGCTTTCCTTCTTTTATGCTACCTTTAGCAAGAAAATCTATTGATGAAAAAAGTTTGGGTCTCTGTTGATGAGTTGATGACATGTGTTTTTGTGCATTTTCTATGTGTTTTCCATTATCAGCAACTGAAATGGTGATTATATACATGATGTGTGCTGATGATATGAGTTGATGGTACAGTAATGTTATGTAATGAAAAAATAAAATGGTTTGGTAGAAAAATCTTAAGACCGTGAAACATGAGTTATATATAGAATTCAAAAAATTATATACTTTAAGGTATTATTTGTTTAGGGAATCAACTGCTTTGAGCAAAATTTATTGTATTGATTATATAAGTATTTTATATGTTTTTTTAATGTTTATTTCTCTAAATTTTTAAGTTTTATTTTTGAAAACTTCACTTTCTTATTATGGATAGTAAAATTATTCATATAGTATGTATGAGAACAGGTGTAACTATGATAGCTACAAAGGTAGCCATTATTGAATAAGAAAGAAATAGAAATTATATATTAAGAGAACCACGTATAAATGCAATTATTCAATGAGAATTCTATATAGATAACATTTTGAATTGAGGTGATAAACATTGTGTTGAACAAATTCATATGAAACTAGTTGTCTTATATAATTTGTGTGATGTTCTTCTCACAAGTCCTGACCTATTATGATCAACTTAAAATGTGTCTATTAGGGAGCAAGTTATTATATTTTTACAAATTATAGGCCAAAACCAAAGATTTTATTTTGTTAGCGGTATATACTGTAAATCTATTGAAATTATCCAAAATTACTTTAGAATTGTTGAAAAGCAGTTTTTTAGTTATACAAACACCTTATTAAAGATCAAGGGGATACAATTCCCATAGAGATAATGAATAATCAAAGATTCTATCTTTAATTTAAGGTATGAGAACAGTACCATTATTTTTATACATTAATTAATTACATTTAAAAGAAAATGTTATAAATTATTTTTTCATGTTTATATAGGATTGTGTGGGAGCAATTAATGGTACCCACGTTTCTGTTGAGATTCAAGAAAAGTTTTAAAGTAAAAAAGAAGGAACAACACAAAATATTTTAGCAGTTATAACGTTTGATTTGAAGTTTATATATATTTTAGCTGGCTGGAAATGAAGTGCACATGATTCACGGGTTTTAGGTGATGCATTATTAAGACCTAGTGGTCTAAGAATTCTAAAAAGTATATAATAAAATATCTATTATATGAAATAAACATATAAATTGTTTAATTAGATAAAGATAGTAATATGTTTTTTTTTCTCTAATTTGTAGGAAAATATTATCTTAGTGATGCTAGTTATGGTATTCGAAAAGGAATCATTTTTCCTTTTCATAGAGTTCAATATCACTTGAATGAGTTTACAGAACATTCACTAGAAAATGAAAATGAGTTATTTAATCCTAGACACTTTTTGTGGAGAACTGCTATTGAGCAAGGGTTTGATATTTTGAAAAGGCGTTTTAGATCAATCGATGAAAAATCTTTTTGGTCTTATAAAACACAAAATAGATGTTGTGTTTGCATGTTATATTATTCATAATCACATAATGGAAGTTGATCCTTATGACTTTTTTATGGAAGAAATATGTTCGGAAAGTGAACCAATTAGACGAACAATTAACTTAAGTTAACGGAAAAAGAGGGAAGAGAATAAGGAGTGGATAACAAAAAGAGAAATTATTGCATCAACCATGTAAAATGATTATAACACTCAAAGAAACTAATAATTGAGTGTTAATTATATGTGTTTGTTTTTATTATGTCTTGATTGAGTTTATATTATCTTTGTTATGTATTTGGATTTTCTGTTGACTTTATTATAATTTCTTATGTATTTTATGTATTCTCTTTTAAATATTAATTGTAGTTTTTATATTAAATTTAAATATTGTATGATTATATTTTGTATAAATTTATAGTTTTTTTTTGTAGAAATGATTACCACACAGAATGAAAAATGCAAGGGCAAGCACTTCACATGGTCTAAGCCTATGTCTTACATATTATTTGAGAGATTAGTTGAGGAGGCACTTAAAGGAAACAAATCTTCTTCCACCTTTAGAGCATAATCTTTTATTAAGGTAGCTATAGAAATTAGTTAAAAGTTCAACGTGCAATGTGAGCCTAAACATGTGGATAATCATATCAAAACTTTGAAAAAAAAAAGGAATAATAACCAAACTTAAAAATAAAAGTGGCTTTGGTTAAGATGATTACAGTTTCAAAAGATGTATATGATGAAGAAGTGAATGTATGATAAATATTATACTCTTTGTTATTTTTATATTTACTTTTGTTTCCAAAATGTTATACAAGAAACTAAAAAATTACATATTCTAAACTTTATGAATAGGCACATCCCAATCATGATAAATATCTTAACAAAAAACTTGATATGCACGAGGCAATGACAATTGTTCTTCGAAAAGACATGGCAAACAAAAATTATTCTAAATCATATGCTGATATCAACTTGGAAAAAAACACTGAAGAACAATCAATTTTAGTTAAAAATGAAGGGGATGAAGAAACTTTGAAAGGAAAAGAGACATCTTTCTCTAGTGCACAAAAGAGGCAACATAGAAAGAGAAATCGCATGTTTGAAGATAATGGTGTTGAAAAGTTATCTAATAAGATTGGTAATGTAGCATTTACAATTCAAAGCCTTAGCAAAAATCAATTTGATGTTAATGAGTTATATATAAAAGTGATGAAAATTGAAGATTTTGATGAGATTACTCTTAGGGATGCATTTGATCACTTGGTTCAACATGAAATGTTGACAAAAGCATTTATGATAAAAAATGCTAATTTAAGAAAAATTTAGGTTTAAAATTTTGTGAATCAATACTGCTATAGGCCTGATAGCTAATATGATTTCACTATTATAAGAAAGTTTATGTTTGTTATTTGACGAGTATGTTTACTTGTTTAATTCGATCTAGCATGCTTATGTTTGTTAATTTAATCTAATAGGTATGTGAATTACATTAAAATTTAATATTCATGTATGACTCTGTTTGATATAAATATTCATATTTATTTATTTATTATTTATTATTTGATATATATTAAAGAGATATTAAATGGATAATTGCCTATAACAATAATAAAAAAAATCTTTATCTAAAAAACCAATTAAAATATTTTTGTATTTATTTATTTTTTAAAAAAATCTTCATACTAAAAAAACTCAAATATCTAACTCTTACTTAATATCATAAACTAATTTGGCTTTCTTTGTATGGAAAAAACATATTTCAAGCTTTTAAAATTAAAAAAATATTAATAGGTTTTATTTATGAAAAAATTTCACAAGATTACATCTTTATAATATTATGATGTGTATAGTTATCTTTTATAAAATAAGTTATACATGAATAAGGATATAATAAAAAAAATTATCATTACACTTTTTAGATTTTATTCTTTTATTATAAGTGATTAAATATTTATATTAAATATTTTTTATATATTAAATATAATTTAAAAAATAATTCATTAATAAATTATTTTCTAGTTTATTTTCCATAACATAACCAAACACTGGAAAATATTTTTTAATTTATTTTTTATAACATTACTAAATATCAAAAAATAATTTATTTTTTAAAAAATTATTTTTTAAAAAATTGTTTTAATAAAAAAATTCTTTTTTAACAAACAAACAAGATTCATGTTGAATATTAAAATGGATGTCCAATATTCAAGATCGTCGAAACTCTAAACGATGAGAAAACATAGAGGTTGTTTGACAAATAAAACATTCTTCTCTGGCATATAATTAATTAACACAACCTTAACTAATCTTACGTGAAGTAAAATTAACAATAAGTCTATAATTAAAAGCATTCTTAGTGGCTACAGCGTACGTCTGTAGGCTGAAGTTTCATAGCTTAAGTAATAAAGCTCCAGATATGACTACAAAATAACAGAGTAAAGCTTTGGAACAACATTCATCTTGTAAATTTAGGACCGTTATGATGCAGTAGTGTTCACCGATCTGGGCATCAGAGTCACCAACAGTCCATTCTTCATGTAGAGTGTGGTGGTCATTTTTGGAATAGCATCATGGCCTTCAACTACCTTAACTGAATATCTCATCAGGATTGAAGCTGCCACCAATTTCATCTGCAAGTATGCAAACTTCTTCCCCAGGCACAGCCTTGGACCGGCGTTGAACACTGCATATTTGAACTGGTTCTCACTACCAAACTTTCCATCCTTAATCCACCTCTCTGGCTTAAACTCCAAGCAGTTTTCTCCCCATATAGAATCCATCCTGCCCATTGCGAATATGCAGTAGAAAACTCGAGCGCCCTTCTTCACTATGGAACCATCAGGGAGAACATCATCTTGTACAACTTCTTTCGCTTCAACAGGCACAGATGGATACAACCTCAGGGATTCGGATAATGCTGCTTGAAGATACACCATCTTGTTCAATTCTTCCATTGTGAAAATGACCTCGTTTTTTGTCTGTGTCTCACGAAGGGACAAAATGTCATTGATCTCGCGTACTATTCTGTTTTCTACTTGTGGATTGCTGTGTACCAACCAGAAAAACCATGCCAATGCCACAGATGTGGTGTCTCGCCCTGCTAGGATAAAATTAACACACAAATCTCTGAAATACTTATCTGGGAATTGCAGCTCCTTGCCTAGTCCATTATATTCAATCTCAATAAGCCTGGACAAGAGATCAGATTGGTGGCATAAGCTACCATGCTTCCTGATCTCATCTCTTCTACCCTTCACTGTCTTCTCAGCAAATTCATGCACAATTCCAACTGCCTCCTTCAGCGTCTTCTCGTATCCTATTCCAAAGAACTTCATGGTCTTCCAAATGAAAGGCGGAATCAGGAATCTGAACAAAATCAATTCTGTTGCTTTTTCAAAAGCTTTTGCGAAGGGAACGTCAGGGATATCTAGGGCTAAGCACCCAGGATCAACCCCAAAGGCTGCACTACAAATGTTATCAAATGTAAACCGGAGAAGCACTTCTTGGAGATCAAAACTATCTCCTGACCTTACCAGATCATCTGTCAGCTTCAACAGCTTCTGGTGCACCAGATCTTTCATGGTTCGGAGCGAGTGCTCAATGAACCGGCTTGAATGCATCTCTGCTTTCACTGCTTGCCTTTGTTCCCTCCATAATTCATCGTCAGCATTGAAAATACCATCCCCTAGCAAATCCTGAAACCTCTCTCTGAAGTACTTCCCTTTTGGGAAGTTCTTGAAGTTCGTTTTAAGCATATACTCGATATTGGAAGGATCGGCGGTCACGATTCCATATGCGCCTCCCATCCACATTCCTCTATGGTGGAAGGTCCCCCCTGCTTTGCTTAAAGCTCTCGTGACGAAATTGTTCATGTCGTTGACGTGAAGGAACATGGTCGGTATGATCCCCAATACAGGCCATAGCATAGGGCCTTTGTTAGTGAGCCTATCGTTTATGCATTGGAAAACAAAGAGTCCCAACAACGCAATAGATACATCCCAAAATGATAAGTGAGCGTAAATCCATTGCGTTGCAGAGGACAATATATTTTCTGCCATAGTAGGCTCTCTTCTCATGTCAGAAATGGCAGTTTTTGAATGATTTAAAGCATTCAACCCTGCGTATTCTTTTCTTTTTTTTTTTAAACCCTGCGTATTAAAAAAAAAACCCTGCGTATTCTTAATTTTAGAGGTTGAAGTAGGGCCATTACATTTTTATGTTACTAACTGCTTAAAGGTACCTTAGCTGCAGTTAAAGAGTTAAAAGATTCATTTTTTTTTCTCTCAAGGTGCTCACCCTTAACTTTTGATTAAAATGCCATTATTCCATACGCAAAAAATTTCAATGTAATATTTTCCCCTTCTTTCTAAATTATATTTTCCCCTACTTTGCAATATTCATTTTATTATTAAAGAAATAAAAAACATGCAAATCAGATTGATGAATCATACTCTAAGATACAAAACTAAAAATATACATGTACAAATGACTTACTAATCTAATGATATAGATTAAACACCACTTTATAAATACAAAATTAAAAAAGAAGTCCACCAAAGAACATAAAACTTGATAGGTTGGCAAAAAGCTAAGTAAAAAACTTTCAATGTAAGTTTTAAATTTTATCAAAAGATCTTATTAATATATGGTACGAATCATCATTATATTATATACTTGAAATAACTCTTCAACTTTAGAAAACAGTAAAATAATATAATTTAAATTCAATTAAATGACTTTAACAGACAAATATTAAATAGAACTTGTTTTTTAATTCTTAGAACACAAACAGATACTTTCATTTGTTCTGATAAACACTCTCTTACATCAATTACGCTGTAAATACAGGACAAGAGCATGTATTTGTCTGGACAGTCTAGTCCAATCCAGACTATTTTCATTTGTTCTGATATGTCCAGTATACCAAGCGCACCTGCGCATCGTCTCTTGCTTTCATGCCCCGGTTTATGTATTTTCTGGTAATAGATTGTAGAGATATAGAAAATCACAGTACTGGAAATAGATTGAAGTAATAATGTTTCCATTTTTATTGGAAATATAGTTTACCATTTATTTTTTTGGCTGATTATATAACGCTAGTACTATTTTATGTGTACTAGCATGGTCACATGTAGAAACTAAGTAATGCTAAATTGACCACATATTCTCTCAAAACATTAAATGAATGAATTTTATAAATAGGATAGATAAAGTTGTTGGATAAGTGATTTTGGAATAATATTTTCATGAGATTAGCATTATTTAAATACTAATTTCAGATCCATGTTCGAGATTTTTATATATTATAATGTAAATTTTTTATCTTACCATAAAAAAGTAATTTTGAAATTAATTGAACGTCGTACGATTTACATAATTGAAAATACTCCTTTCACAGGAACTCCTTAACTCTTATTAAAGGAGGATATGATCAGTTTAAGGGAATGTTTATGAGTGTGGTATGTATTATTTCTTTTTTAAAAATTTTAATAATATATTTTATTAAAAATTTATTTTTATATCAAACATATCAAAATAATAAAATAATTCTAAAAAAAGTTCAGATTTTGATGAAAAGTATGTTTAAACTCAATGCTATACGCCCCTAGTAGACTTGGCAATCGAAACGGTTTGGAATTATGTCATTGATGTATACTTATATCTACCTAAGAATTGTATAGAGTTATTATTGGTTAATCTATGGGTTTATGAGTTAATTTTAAGGAGACATATTTGACCATGGAAGATTATATATAAATGCATCCACTCCTTGAAAACTATTGATAAATTATTATACATTTAACACAATTTTAACATCATGATTTTTTCTTTTATAATTGGGTTACTAAATTAATATATCATTCTAAAGGTTATTTCTTGAAGAGAAGAACAATATTTATTCCGGTCTGCAATTTTGATCACCTTTGGGCAATCAAAATCAATATATATATATATATATATATATATATATATTTGGATCACCGAATTATTAAATTTAATTTTTTAAAATAAAAAAGTTAATGAATTGCAACTGAGTTTTTATCACAGGATTAATTGGGTCACACTAGACTTTTTCTTCTCTTATTTTTTCAACCCGGCTCATTTTTAGCCCCGGATCGGCCAAGTCCTAGGTCGACCCATTAGATCAGGCCAATTTCAAAACTATGGTTTGAAATCAATACCAGGTTGATATATGATATTTTTATTTTTATATTTTAAAAATATTTTTTAAAAAATTTAAAAAATTATTATTTTTTAGTATTTTCAGATTGTTTTAATATGCTGGTATAAAAAGTGATTTTAAAAAATAAAATAAAAATTATTTTAATATATTTTCAAACAAAAATCACTTTAAAAAGCAATCGCTACAACCTACAACACTCCTAAACATCTCTTTAAAAGTGTTTGAAAATATGAAAATAATTATTTTCTTAAGTATTTTTTTATTTAAAAATATATTAAAATAATTATTTTTGATATTAAAATATTAAATAATTAAAAACATAAAAAAATTAATTTCTTTTTAAATACTTAAAAAAAAAGCTGTACTTACTCTCACCTGAGATCATTTTAGAGGAGAGCCTTAAGAGAACCAAGCTGTTAAATTAATTTAATACTGAAATATATTTTTCATTAGAATGAAGCAAAATTTATGATAACAAAAGGAAGAAATTTTGCAAAATTTGAAGTAATTTAACTATAATTATTAAATTCAATCTAATTTAATATGTTATATTAGTGATTTATTAATTTAAAACTAGACCTAGATGGAGTATTTTTTTTTTCCAAAATAGAAAAATAATGATTTAATCAAACACAAGAAGTCATCTCGTAACCCAACTATGTTAACTTTAAGAAATATTTTAAATTTTCTATACAAAACAATGCTGGTTTTGAGATAAATTTAGTTCGGTCAGCCGTCAATTCCGACAATTATGACCTGAAATATGGGAACTTCCGGCTATAGATAAATACTGAAACTTTTAAATGCGAAGATATAACTAAAATCTCAACTTGAATCGTATTAAATTCAAAAGAGGGTAAATTTTAATATATCTTTAATAATAATTTATATTCTTTCCATTTCATTCAAAAGTATTTTATGATATAATTAAAATTAAAAAATACTTTACTTTAAGCTTATCAAAATCTTTATGACTTAACATTTACTTCTGATTTGATTAAATCTCATCCTTTAAGATTTTAATTTTTACAATTAAATTTAAATTAAATTTTCAAACTTAATTTTTTACTAATTAAATTCTTAATAAAATTTATTTGACCTATTAAAAGTCTAATTAAGTTCTTACACTTAATTAATTCTTTTAATTTTAACTTGAGTTAATCTATAAATATAATTAAACCTTTAATTAGATTTATGGTTAAATCAAATCAGCTTACTAAATATCTAATTAAGTCATCGAACTTAATTTTTATATAAATTCATCCAATATTTACTTAAATTAACATTGAATTTACATTATTTTCACATTTAAGTCCTTCAAGGTTGCAATTGAGTTTTCAATATTGTCGAAGATCCAGTTTGGTCTCTCCATCCCTTATTATGCATGTAAATCACTCTTTAGTTTATTTTTGTCAATCAAATCACTTGTTTTCCTGTATTTTTTTTGTTTTTAAACCTATTTTCTATTTTTTTTCATTTATTTTGTAAAAAAAAAGAGATAATTTTAGAGTAACCGAACATTGGATTGTGACATTATATTTACATTCATCTCTTGGCTTATCTTCGCCAAGGATTATATATTACCAGTTAAGCATCCATAATACTTCCAATTCTTAATTATTATACCATATCGACTTATTAGCCTTATATACTTTGCGGGCGTCATTTGTAATTACCTGAAATTCATAACCTTTATTTACTTTTCATTACATCAAATCATGCGTCTTTATATATTTATGTGAAATGATAATTTATATAATGCATATTCATCACCACATAAAGTCAACATATATTGTTTTCTCATTCTAATCATTTATCACAAGAAGTGAAACTTTTCTCTTGCTTTTTTAAAATTCTTTTTAAATTCTCTATTTGATATACAAATCCTTAACCCTCCCATGCATGACCATCAAAACAATGTTAACATCATTAGTGTCATAACTAATTAATTCCCTACTAGTATCAGCTATATGGACATCATTAATGGAAAACTAATCAATTTATTGCTGATATCATTTATACTAATATCATTAATCCCACATAAGTGGATGACTGATCAACTCGATGCATATATCAAAAATACTAATATCATTAGATTCATATACGTGGACAACTAATCAACTCAATATTGATATCATTAGTCCCATACATGCAGATGACTAATCAAATTAATGCTAATAATCAGTAATGACTAGTGTTATTAGTCCCAATCTCGTGATAGACTAATCAATTGTGTCGATCATTAGTAACTACTAATGCCATTAGTCTCCACCTCATGATAGACTAATCAATTGTGTTAGTCATCATTAACCATTGATGCAATTAATCTCCACCTCGTGGCAAAGTAATTGATTTTGTCAATTCATCCCCAACATTACTTTTTTTTTCTATTTCTTGTTTTTTTTCTGGGTTTTTCAATAAAAACAAACCATTACATTCCCAACCATTTATTTTGAATACTAACAAACCTTTCAATTTCAAAATCCTTTTCAATTACCAAGTGCAACAGTGCACTTTAACTTTTTATTTCATTTCTCTTTCAGAACATATATCAATTTCATAACAATATGACAATAAGTAAGCAATAATTCGATAAAAAAAAAAAAGGCTTTAAAAAAAAAAGGGTGTTGAACTCCTACTTTTTACTCACAAGCATCTTGCTCCTCTTGTATGGAATCTCACTTCAGAAGTCTTCCCAATCATAACATGATTTACAAATCATTATTATCATGTTAATTTAACCTAGGAATTATATGTCGGTTCCACATTTTACATATATTTTATAATTTCTAAATATAGATATTTCATATCTCATTCATGTACACAATAAATTTATGTTAGAAAATATATTTTCCATGCTTAGCCTATTATTCCAAATAAATTTAGCAGGACTTATAGCTTATTTCCACCCATCTATAACAAATTTAACATT